GTTTTGTTGGTGTTTTACATGCACAATTAAGACAACAATGAAGATATAAATAATCAACATAATAAATAATAGTTAAATCCTCAGTACTGTAACACTTCCATACAGGCAACGTTTTGAAATTGTGTCTGACTGTAGTATCATTTCCTTGCATTTGTACGCGAACAGACAAAGCCAAGTGAACACAGACAGTGTCTTATTACTATCAAAGAATGCCGCGATGAAAGACCAAAATAAAGACGTTGTTATAGCCGTGAAGAATTTTCTCGAGAATTATGCTGAAATTCATGGATTACCAAGTCCCGGTAGAAATGTCAATCGCATTACTCAATTGCTTACACTCTTGCCAGCTGAAACGAGTTATACGTCAGTCTATCGTGATTTTATTGCAGGTCTTGAAAACAATAGCACGTTGAAAGTGTTAAAATATGATGCGTTTCGCATCAATTAACGCCTTATATTCAAATCATGAGTCCGAGAACGGATTTATGTGATACTTGTCAACGTTTTTGGAATGGCTTACAGTACAATGCTCATAAGGAAGAAGAAGCGAAAGATTTACTGAAAAAATACAAAGAACATTTAGTTAAGGCTAAATTAGAGAGAAACTATTACAACAAGAATACGAAATTAGCAGAATAGCAGAGGAAATTGGTAGACGAGCATTTTATAACAAGAGGTAAAGCTGATTATTGTAGCTTGACGTTACTTGTTCATTACAGTTACGATTGAGCATAAAATGTTCACGTTCCCCATTTTGATCAACAGGTGAGTAAAATTTACTACCTCAGTCCGCATAAAGTGCATTTGTTGGTATTCAAAATGAAGCAATACGCGAACAAATTAATTACGTTCTTGATGAAGACGAAATTATAGGAAAAGGCTTTAATGGTACACTAAGCATTGTATTCGATGACTAAAGAAACTGGATAAAGGTGAAAAACTACCTGCGATAACGCTGGTGGTCAGAATAAAAATAATGCTACAGGGAATGACCAAGAATTGTAAAAGAGTTTGATTTGATAACATTACCATTGAAGAAATGCTAGATGGATTTCTTGAAAGTTCTAATGAATTAGGCTCCACTTGCTTTGAATATATTTCAAACTGAAGTAAAAGGGGTTATCAACTTACTGAACAAAGAAAAAGCAAAGACAAAAGAATTAAGGAACTAGAAGAAATAAAAGAGTTAGAAGAAGCATTAGAATTAGAGGAAAACATTTGTGAATGTCATTTAGAGGCCCTTGAAGTGGCTAGGCAATGAAGATTAAGACAAAGCAAAGAAAAAGATGACAACTTAGAAAAAGATTCGAGACAAATAGAGTTGTCAGAAAAAATTGTGGCATGGCAGAATTATTTAACAGATAAGCAACTTCAAGAACTACCAGTTTTACCAAAGAAAGAAAGCAAATTTAAACTTCTAACTAACAGAGTAAAGAAATAAAATTAGCTGAGTAAAAGAAATAACTAGGGAAAAATTTGAAACCTATATTTTGCAAAAGGATAAATAAGAATATCAAACTGTTGAGTTAAGGAGAGGAGATAAGTGGCATTGTAATTTCTGCCCTTTTGAAAGAGAAAGAAGTTAACTGCTACTTACAAAATAATATCTTACAATACAAGTAATTATAATAATGATTACAATGACATTACTTATAGTTGTGTTGAATGTAAAAAAGCTCTTAATGATAATACTCTGTCACACTGTAATGATTATGGTCGAATTATGAGAAAGAGGGTAGACTGCTTCTGTGATTTAAGGAAAGATGAGCCAGTTAAAACTCTGACAATAACAGAAATAATGGCACAGAGTTATGTGGGTAGATTGGAACAACAAAATAAAGACTTGAAACAGCAACTAACTAATGCTAAGGAAGAAATTAGTTCTCAAAGGATTGGCATAGCAAGCAAAGGCAGATAAAATTCAAAGACTTGAAAGTGAGGTTGAATTTTTACGAAAAAAGCAAATTCAACATATTGCTCAAATTGAAGTCAAAGAAAATAAGATTAAAATTAAGGAAGTGATTTAATAAGTGATTTTTTTATCTAGATATTCCTTGAGAATTTTGGTATCATTTATTTTAAAAACATAAGACGCAATTTTTTCTCCTTGCTCTTTCTTTAAAATACTTCTAATAGTACTGTAATTCTTTAGTTTCACATAGATTTTATGTAAATTAATTTCATATTATAATTTTATATATAGATAAGTCTATATTAATATGAAATATATTACTCTTATAATGATAACTGCAAGTAAAACTTTTATCTCAACCAAGTTATGTTTTGAATTTAAAATGCAACTAAAATTTATCCATGAATTCAGACATGGGTCACAGCTGCGCTACTAATACTAAATCAAACTAAAAAAAATCAGTCTCTAGCCAATTTTTTCAGCCATATCAGCCTCTCATTTATGTCACATCATAGGATGTTCACTTTGTCTGGCATAATAGAATGTTCACTTTGTCTGCAGCATGCCCCATATTACAGCTGTAATCAAATGTTCACCTTGTTGCAGCATGTCCCGAATTAGTCCATTGATTATGCATAAGCACAGCTATCCACTAATATAAAGCAAAAGTATCTTCCAGCCACATCAATCATTGATGTTCAGTTTGAATTTGTTGCAGTATTAGTATTAGTATGCCCCATATATAATACTTTAAAAGGCATAGCTGATTAGCATTTATGTACTCTGAAATTTGATTTTATTGGACATTTTGGCATCCTACTGTCTCATTGTTTCATTTATATTTAGCAAGCGACTGGGCTGCTACGGACAATGTGTCACAACTTGCATTACATGCAGAACACATCTTAGAATGTAAATCGGGACAAAGAATAATGGTCCATGGAGAGACAGGACGTTAACGACACATTATATGAGATTATTGTTTTATTCTTCTAAAGGGTCGTTCATACCAAACGATGTAATAGACTATTTAAGGAGGATAACGTGTATGTAAATACTATTTTGATTTGCATCATTCAAATGTATCGAATCCTGTATTATCGTCAACAATAATGTAATGCATATACGCCACTATATAATCTTTTTGTTGAGCAATTTGTGACGACGTGTACTTTTACACCAACTTAAATGTTCATTCTCTAGTGATAAAGCATTATAATTACCATGCGACCTTGTTCGCTATTTCTGTGGTATTCTAACAATATCGCTAATTATGTATTATTGTAAACTTTTTTTTTTTCGACCAAAGAGCCAAGCCAGGTATTTATTAATTGAGCGGTCAAAACTCTGCTTACCCATAAACAAAGCCATGTGAAAATTTTTTCCTAAAGGCTGAGAAAAGTTTTGGGCTCGGACCCAATCATATGATTATGATCTAATCCAGTAATCAGTACGAAATAACAAGCATAAAATCAAAAGTCAAAAGACTCGAGTAGATGATCGAAACGATAAGGTCCAAACGTCGAATCATTGGGGCGTTAAAAAGTATAATCGTATGTTCTTTGTGAGTAACAAGTGATGTCACTTTTACTTTTATCACTGATTTAAAATCGCATTTATAACGATAATGATATGCATGTATTAACACATCTAGTATGACAATGTGTGTACTATGCTGTATTGAGTATTATTAATAACAGTGTACAAGTACAACAGATTATGATACAGTATTAAATATATACTGTATTGCAAGGTTGTCGATACCAGCCTCAAAAGTATATATATTGTTGTTTAGTTATAAGGTTTATCAGTACAACGTCAGGAGCGACACGGTGCAATACCCCGTAGATTTTACCCTTGTCTGTTTCATTAGCGGGACATTGATGCCGATGGTTCATTTGTCAGTTGCATGCAGTGTGCACCCATCTGCCCTAGCCATCACAAATAACGCAAAAACATTATACTCCATGGGAAAGCGGTATAACACAAACAACATGTTAACCTTCTCCATTTTCATTTTCATTCCGTTCCGATGCCCCTTAGAAGCGGCGGGAACATCAATTAATCTCGATCACAACACATCGCTCAAAAACCCCTTTCATCTTGTAACGCCAAATATGTAAGCTGGCTGCAACCTGCAGTGCCGAGATGCAGAGCAATTGAATCATACCAATAAAGGAAATTACCAAAGTTAGCTAACATCTTTCAATCTGAGAGGGTGAGCTTACTTTCTCTATGCATTAATTTATGTTTTCTGTCATAAGCCTATCATTGATCTTCCATCTAGTTATAGCTATCTCTCCTAAACAACACTCATTTGATTATGCTTATCCCATCCGATCAATCTCGTATCTCACTATGCAATCGGCGATTTCCAATAAAATACTAGCTAACAGACACAAAAGAATCGACATCATTAGACGTCCTTCATATATATTATATACATCAAATAATAATTAGAAAAGATAACCAATATCAAAGAAAATTAAATATTCAGAGTCCATCAATAATGATTTGAAATCAACATCCACTCAATCCATACCACTTAATAAGCGCTCACACCCCCACCCCCAAGTTCCTCATTATCTTTCTCGATGTAGCCGCTGCATCCTCTACTCGTCGCATAGTGAGCACATATAGCATAGGAGTGATGCCGTCAAGCTATAAGTTGGTAGACAATGCAAATCCATTAGAAGAGAGAATTCTGATTAGTTAATAATATCATTCTATACGGACTCACTATGCAGATGCCAACCTCGCTCACGAGAACTTCAGAGTTTCATTGGCAGCTGCTCATGTCGCAAAAGTAAACGCAGACAATATGTAGAGCAAAACCAGAAAAAATAACCACAAAAAAATTCGTGCGTACAATCCCGTTAGACATCCTGATGACGAATCTTCCTCTTCTTCTCTATATGAATGGCGTACTGGCTGATAATTGTAATGTGGAACGTTGTAAAACGGATGAGATCTCGTCGTTGAATAATAGCCTAAAATAAGCAAGTACAATTAGAATATGAACGTCACAATGAATATCGGCAACAAAAAAAATAATGTTATTCAACACGAGTTTAACAAACAATCGTAATCATAGGCTTTTCTTACTTTGATTCATACTTCCGTAATATGGTTGTCCTTCACCACAAATGTCATTATTGGAAGCATATGGCATAGTCTGACTATATGGTAATGGAGGTTGAATAGGTGATGCGTATACGACCGGATATTGTTGAGGATTGCCTCCTTGACAAGGGTGATGATGGTGGTTATATGGAGAATGTTCGGGTATTGGAGGCATCGGTGGTCTACAATGGTGAGGTATTACTGTTCCCGCTGCCGCTGCAGTTCCTGCTGTTGGCGGCTCTCCGGGTCGAGTACGATAGTCGTGTTGATTCTGATCAACCCATAATGCATACTCCTCGTCTTGAAGTTTCTGTGCTAGGCGATAGTCAACGTCTGATGTTATAACCGTAGCAGGGTATGGATTCTGTGTATGATATTGCTAGAATTCGATAACAGAGACCAACGTATGAGACATACGAAATTTAGTACAAATGACAGGCATTCGAGTGGCGTAAGACATGCGAATATAGTCATCTAAAAGTACTCGACTCACAACGTTATTTGCACCATTATACTGGTCAACCACAGTGTAAGGTGGTGGTGGTGGGGTAGTGCTTATATGTTCTTCGTCGTGAATGCGTTGCATTTTGCTATGTTCACAGAGTATTATATTAAATGTGGCAAAGAACTTCTCTCACACAATTTATGTGAGCGTACATCAGCCAACATTCAGGTGATCATCAATTCCCCTCATGTTACTCATATTAGCAAATAGACTGGGGCCGTGTAACCATCCAAATTTTCTATTCCAAATCTTTTCATGTCCGACAGTGCGCTATTCATTTGCCATTGTCAGTAATGATCAGCTGCATATCTTTTACATTCGAGGGTTGGAGGCAAAAGAATTTCAAGATTGCTGATAAACAAGGATAAATGGTCAATTCATTTCATGTGATCATGCGGGATCCGAGTTTACTACAAAGACCTCCCGACTACGGAACCTTTACCCCTACTACACAGTATTTAAAAAGAGCTTTTTCCCTCCGTGCTTGAACAATTTTAACATTTTATGTAATAGTTTTCTTCTTCGCATTGAACCTCAAGCAACTTCACCTGCTTTTGTATAATTAAGTCATCGAGACAATTAGTAGGATATACGAAATATTAAACGATTATTCATCAACAGTTAGTACAACCTTGCACATACAATGGTACACACCGTTATTGATGGTCCAGTTAACGAAGAAAAAGAGCTGAAAAGAATTGTTTCGTTAGAGTATCGCGTCAATGAACTGGAAAACAAGCTATTAAAAGAGGCGACGGCAGCATTGGAGAAACGTGTGGAAGAGCTAGAAGCCTCGCTAAAAGAGTCTAACGAAGAACGGGATAAACTTCGTGAAACATTAATGCAACAACATCATGAGTGTATGCATTCTGGCGGCGAGGGTAAAGAAGTCGATGCAAAGGCAGCGACTAAGAAATCCACTAACAATACGGAAAACGTATCCGACGATGCTGAGGAAAAAGAATCTAATACAACGGATACGGAGGATGATGGTGCATATGAAAGAATACTAATGGTAATTGAGAAGATGAGACAGGATTGTATTAGAGCAGTCAATTTGAAAATTCCAACCAGTTCGAGACTTCCAAAGAACCCGTTTGGGTCGAGAAATACAGCCACCAATAAAACGTCTAGCGCAAGCGCGAGTCCTGCCGTCTCACCCACAAAGGTGCCTATGCGTTCGAGGACGCCCAGCTGTCCATCCATCACTCCTGTTTCTTCTCGACCTGGTACGCCTCCGTGTACTGTTCCTAGTAGTCCATTGAGTCTTACTCCATCGGGAATTCATGTGAACACATCACCCACAGGTATCCCGTTAAAGTCTAGCAATATTCCGATGCGCAGCAGTTCAAGGCCAACGACTCCAATACCGTCTTCTCCGTTATGTTCTCCTGTTCAAGTTGGCACAACGTTACCGACATTTGAGAACACTGAACTTCCACCACTTAGGAGCATCGCTATTCCTATTCGTAAAGCAACATCAAATAGCACTGGCTATTCTTCAATACCAGGTACACCGATATCATCTTCACCGCTAGCATCATGCTCTTCCTTGGCCTCTTCACCGATGTATCATGGTCACTTGTCAAGTTCTCCTCCGTCGAATGGTCACGGTTACGTGCATGCGGGTACATCTGATCATGCACCGTATAAACATACGGGCATTCCTCTCAGATCTAGGGCGTCCAGTTACAGTCTAAGTAGCATTTCTAGGCCATCTAGTCCGTTCAGAGCAGCTACGATGCATTCACTCTTCCACACAGAAAAGATAACATCTGTACAGAACTGAAGGCTATTGCTTTGGTAGTTTGTTTGATCAAGTGATCCAGCAGATAATGAGCATTCCTAGCAATATACTCCTATCATTTTAAGATACAATGTTGATATAGATGTTTGGGTTATATTATCGAATGCTTATACGGACATGACATATTATTATCTATTTTACATGTGTATAGACGAATAGACTTTCACTAAGTGAATGTCGCCATTGTCCGATGTGGAGTTTGCGGCATATTATTAACTTAGTAGATCCGCATGAATAGACATCCACGTAGAAAAATAGAGTAATTACTGTTTTCATTGTTCATTTGTTCTTCCTATAGGCCTTTATTGTAGGGGCGCACACTGCTGCTTTCGGTGGTAATTAATACTAGCGGGAATTCAGAATCGAAGGTGCATCCGTAGGCTCATTTGTAATATTTGAAAGGACTTCTGTTGGGTATGCGGCATAATTATTTTCATCCCTTTTTTCCTCCAATGTCTTCGGTAGACTCAATGCATTATAGAAACGAACGATCTAACTAGTAACGGTTGTTTTGATACCATCGCTACAAATAACTTCCATTCGGCTGCGTCGATGTGAGATGGTAACTGTCATACAAATCAATAAAAAATGTAGATACATAACTTATACATAATGGGTGTTGTAGAGCGAGTTATGATACTCGTCATAAATTAATCACATAATTACAAATTGAAAAATAGCCAATAAATAATTGGATTCGGAAGGAAAGAGAGAGCCGGCTTTCTACGATGCTACTTTGTCGGTACTTATTGTTTTATTATCAAATTTGTTTCCTTTCCCACTTATGACAATGTTCGTCGATTGCTATCTTCGTTTTCATTATAATAAACTCGCGAGCTAGCATTTTTATGTATTGATCGGCACTACTAAAATTTCTATAATTGTCCAAAACCCGATATACAATGTTATTCTTTTGCACTGGTTGAATCAATTCTATGCCGCCCAAGGTCAAAAATAAACAACACTCCAAACGAAAAGAAAGTAGTCATTCTAAGGATACTCGAACATTTACATGGAATGGCACTAATGCGACTAAGCCTCCAAGTTGGCCGAAACTTATCTACAAACCAGATTTAACGCTTAGTATGCTACTTGAAGACCAGATAACGGTCATAGATAATTTCTTCAGCAAGAAGGAATGTATGTCATTCATACATTTTGTAGAGCAACATGTTCCATTAGAATTGGCGAATCCAAACGGAATCCCTAAAAAAGGAGAAGCATACAGAGACAATGACAGATTCTCAATTGATGACGCTGGCTTCGCCGATATACTATATCAGAAAACTGGATTGAAGGATCTAGTATCCCAATGGAAACCAAAGACTCGTTCTAAAACCGTTACTGTATCAAAGCTAAACTCCAATATACGAATATATAGGTATAGAGTGGGTCAGAAGTTTGGTGTTCATTATGATGACTCGGTAAGAGATACTGTTGGCATGACGAGTGAATGGACTCTGCTGATTTATTTAAATGGTGAAGTCGATCAAGAAAACGATGATGATGTAAATATACCACAATTGGTCGGTGGTGAGACTGTCTTTTATAAACCAAAGAATAGAGGCGAGGTAATAGTTAAACCTCGAGCAGGAATGGCACTATTTCATAGACATGGCATCGACTGCTTGCTTCATGTAAGCTATTACTTCTACTGTTTGATTGTTGCACATTATCACACGTGTATACTCACGTCGCCGTATGCAATTATCGCAGGAAGCAAAGGAAGTAAAGGCAGGGGTAAAGTATGTTTTACGGAGCGATCTTATGTTTGGCTAATTGAACTTTTAATGAATATCACGACGACCCACGATATCGAATATCAATGTCGCTGTTATATATACTGCTCCTCATAGTCTATAATCTTAATTTAAGTAAATTAATTACGAGATGTTCTAATTCAACGATACGTTTGTAATTACTTATATCGACGATTATTTTCTTTTCCACACTCCCATCATCTCCTTTCCATCACGGCTTGGATGGCCCTTACATTTATCATAATAGATCAAAGTAAAGTTCTCACTTAATAGCTGATCATATCTATTAATAGTAGGTTATATGAGTTCCAATAACGGGCGAGTCAACGTAAAATGAAAGTCACTTACATTTCCTTTGAGAGAGCAAATGGAGGCCCATCGGTATGGTCACCGAGTGGATACATCAGCGTGATTAGAAACCCACCGGACGTTACCAATTGTGACATTCGCGTTGCCCATTGAGGCCTATATTCCGGGTGAAAGGCACAAAGAAATCTGCATAATGACAAGATAAATTATTGAACGATGTCATTACGCACACTCCAAATCATCATTAAACTCGCTTACGTGTAATCGTATATCAATTGATAACCCCCTTCTGGAGGCTCAAAGTTATAAAAATCTGCTACAACATAGTCTACCATAGTCGAAGGAATATTATATGAAGCTTGCTTCTATACAATGTTTAATATACCATAACAATCAATTTAGAAAAAACGTAACTTTGTCATAAGTGATAATACAGAGAATCAACATGATTTACCGCTTTACAATGCTCAATTGCAGTAGCACTAAGATCCATTCCAGTCATATGAAGTTTTTCGTTAGCCAAGTACACAACATCATATCCCTACGAGTAATGTAGACGAACGGCCTTAATATTAAAGATACCAGAATTCAGTAAAATTCAATGAACACATACTTTTCCGCACCCCGGCACTAAACCTCGTCCTTCGGGAAGTGAAAATTGCTTCTCTTCAATGAGCTCGCGTAGCGCGGGCGAGATATCTCCTTTATCCCATGGAGTGACCTAGATTTGTTGCTAAGCATTAAACGACAGTAACCAATGATTTTGTAGGATTCGATCTTCCAAAAATGAAGCATTCTTACCCCACGTTGCCATAAATTATCCCAATCTTTAGCACAGTTAAAATAGAATATTGACTTAATATGAATGCACGATCAATCAGGTGATAGCAATTCAATCACTTACTTGGTGAAGAAAGTAATCCCTGCTGAGCAGATATCGTATTTGACATCTCGGAATTTGAAGCTGAGATCCTAGTCTGAATATGCTTTTTATTATCTACGCCTTTGCCTAAGTGACACAAGAATACCTCGTACTACAGTCAACTCCGGCCTTTTTTATACCGGTTTGCCTATTATTATACCGGTTTCGCCTTATTATTATACCGGATTACCGTATTCTTCCGAAAATAAGCAACACCTCGGAAAAATTGATTATTTTAAAATTGTCGGAAAAGATTAATCCGTGATATCAGTCTCACCAATGATGTCAATAATAATAATATCATCCTCGCCAATGACGAAGTCAGTGGTATTATTATTATCGCCATCACGATTATCATCATTAACATCATCGTCGTCGCTGACATCATCCGAGTCCAAATCGTCCACGTTTTAAAGGACTTAGCAAAAATCACATAATTCGGTGGTTGCGTGATCGTTTTATCCAACTACCCGAAAATAAGCAACACTATAACAAAAAAGTGTTGCTTATTTTCGGAAGAATACGGTATGTATTAATCTCACCCCTTATAACGGCTGAATCATATACCGGTCTCTCATTATAACGGCTAAAAATCGCCAAACCACTCGCGCCGGTATAGGCAGAGTTGACTGTAATTGCTCGGAAAGTGTGACAAGACTTCTGTTTTAATGATCTCCAGGTAGAATGGTAAAGCGCATGTATTGGTTATCCACGTGACCATATCCTCCATTCTGTTAGTTAACGTGATATTAATATTGTACAACAAATCAAGCCTGGGCAATGCTGACGTTTTGAGCTAATAAATAAGAGTCTTTGAGAAGCAGCGATGTTTATTTAAACGTATGGATCCCTGCTTACATTTGAAAATAGAATGAGCTTTACGTGACATCCGCCAACAATATCATCAGATGCTGACTACGCATCTCCACTTTGCAACAGATCGGTTTAGCATTAGTGGATTATGAAATAGCCCGGCATGAGCATCAATTGATAATCATCTAATAAAGATCACGAAAACTCAATTGATAACAATTAGACAGGGAAGGGATGTTTGAAGGTAAATAGCCGGAGACAACAATGGAGGCCTATTCCAACTGAATCCGTTGCTAATGTTTTGTGTCGAGTCCATTGAACAGTCTCTTATGAAATGGGGAAATCGCATAACATTATTCAAATCTTACAGTCCTTGGATATCGGATGAGTGTGTGGAAGCGGCAAGGATGCAGTATGAATGAAGTAGTAGGGTAGCGCGTGAACAGCTGTCATTGCGTTAGAGAGAAGAAAGGTTTAGTTAAAGATTGGGCGTTGAGAAGATTATGGCCGATGGTAATAATAATGATGATAGTGTGAATTGAATGTCAAGAAAGTAGAGATAGATAACGAAATACTGCAGGTTTGTTTTGTTACGTTCTCGATTATAAGTAACCGGTATTAGTATGCTAGATTTTTTGTTGACGGAATACGTGTAAATGCTTAAAGACCCCGTTTTTTCTTGATATATATTGAGCAAATTGAACGTTATAAGCACGATAAATAAACGCTTATAATTTATTGACAACGAACTTTAATTGTTCTTGTATTTGAGATTTCCTATTTAGTTATTTCTCATTGCAGGTTTACCATTCGCTGCTTTGACTGCGTTTTGGATTGACTAGTTTATTTGACTAATTGGAGTAATTAATTAAATGAGCATTGTAAGTGTTCTAACCGTGAGAAAAATTTCACTTTAAAAGCAATAGTTATCTCTTTCTTGTAAGACTCCATAATAAATAACCGTACTAGACAATGGCTTTCAACCCCCCTCATATGCGCTATATTTACCACCGCTATTTAACCATAATAAGCGCATCCTAAACAACGCATAAAATTTGTGCAACGAAAAACAATATATAAACTAAGTAAATTAAGTGTAATATCAAAAATGCTTATATTATTGATTTGTTTACCAATCAAGCCGATTATCGCTTGAAGCGCTTCCACAACTATTATTATTTTTTGACCAGGCATAAACGCCCGATCTTTTAACAAACGCACACTGGTCCCAGCCAGCTTGTTTGAGGGCCGTTTGTATATCGACATGTAAGAGTGAGTCGCTCGGCCTCTTGTCGTTATCGGTGCAATTTAAAAAACATAAATGTTCGTCCAAGATTAGATAAGAATTCATCATTACATTGTTCGGTTCCGGAACAATACAAGTATGCTGTTGGTGTCGATCAATAAATGATTGAAATTCGTTATGAGTAATAACGAATTCGCGAGCATCACGCAAAGTATTATTGCCGCCGTTTTCGTTCTCTAATATAAGCACTTGGAAGCATTTCCAGCGAAAGGGGCGAAGGTGCTCGATGTGTACATTCATGTCTTCTTCCCAGTTGTATTTATTGACAACAGTGTTTAGCTTAAACTTTATGCCATATTCTTGGCACCATTGAGATATCTGCGTTATCTTGTGAACGTGCGTCCCTTTGCCTCGTCCAATTTTTTGGTTGGTTCTTTCGTTAAATGAATCGCACGAGATTGCGAGTATGTCAACATAGGCTTTGTACTTTTCAAGAAATTTTCTCTCAATTTTGCTGCCATTGCTTACAATTGATACAGATTCCAATTGTAACTCTGTTTTTGAATATTGTAATAATTCGGCAAGATACTTGGGTTTTAAGAACGGTTCTCCTCCCGAAAAATTTAGCTTTTTCATTCCTGCGTTAGCCAGCTTTTTTAAAACAACCTTTGCGTTTTCAATTTCTGGTAAATCCGACGTTTTGGCTGTGTGGAAACAAAATCCACACTCATAATTACACTGCCGGGTAAAGTGAAAATTTACAGAAATAGGAACTAGGGACTGTTTGTCTTTTTTTGAGTTTCTAAAATGCTTAAATAAAAGTCTTGCCACAACGAACAGAAATAAAACTCGAATACAAAGTATTGCAATCATTTTTTCAGATTGATTTTACTCTCATTAAAGGGCGAGCGTTAATATACCACCTATTTCGATTTTTTGGGGGGCTAGCTAAATTTGTATAACGATGCGTACTTTCCCATTTCTGATAAACAATGATCACATCTTTTTACATTGTCGAAAAACATTCTCATTCAAGAAAAAGAAAAGCAACGCAACGCAAAAGGACAACAGGACTCTAAAAACTTGACTCTTCTTGTATACATCATTTCTAATTGAACCACGAACGACAAGTTCTAAACTACAAATAAAGCCATTCTACAAGTTCGAGGGGAATAAAACCCCAAACCAATTGTGTAACGAAGAACACACTCTTCCTTCAATAAGGCAACTCAGGTTTCACACGCAGCTAATAGCTTGGCGTAAAACCATTACGAAAGTTCGAAAGAATCATCAAAATCTCTTGTCCCATAACATCAATAGATCTTGCAGCGTTTGTCTAAATTAGCGCAGACAAAGAAAACATTCTCAAGTTATACAAGCTCGTTATTAATATGACCATCTATAGCAAGCCTTGTATCCGGATTGCCATCAATTCATTGCATTTGTATACGTCATGGCAAAGGACTGCACGCATTTCCTTGAGTTTTCCATTGGGTGGCAGATCTTTTTACCATAATCCGCCTTTCTCTGATAAATTTCAGTCCTCAGAAAGTACACATTTCGAAGTCGAGCGCAAGTTTATGTTTGATCTCTCCAAACTCCCTCTATTGGAACATAATAAAGGTGCCAAGCCCTTCCGTACTGTCCAGTTTCTTCATGAAAAATCGTTCACTGACACATACTACGATAACGATGAGAGAGACTACCCACTCACGACACAAGATATCTGGCTGCGTCAGCGCGATCTAAACTGGGAGTGCAAGACTCCCATGAACTTGACTGCATCGATGGATTCTTATCACGAGTTGATAGATTTGCGCGAAATCGCCGATTTTCTTGGAAAGGTTTTAGGCGCATCGAAATCTCCAGTTCCTGAAAATGCAGAGCAGTTCAAAATATGGCTTAAACAGCAACACGGCCTTACCCCCTTTGGCACTATACAGACGACGCGACGGCATTACCTCATCGATGACGAATTCACACTCGATCTAGACAAAGCTGATTTTGGCCATTACGTTGGGGAGCTGGAACTCGTCGTACATTCTAAGGAACAAGTACACGATGCCGAGCGGAAAATCGCACAATATATGAAAGAACACGAGTGGTTTTTTGATACAAGCGGCGTGGTAATGGGAAAGTTGAGTGCGTATATTATAAATTACAATAACAAACAACGCGAGTGTATGGAGAAATCGGGCGTATTGACGCGGAAACTGTTCCCAAAAAGTTTAGACGACGTGACTGCAAGGAAATAGGATGCTGCCTCATGTTTAATGAGAAATGTACGGTAGTTTCTTTTCTGCTCGAGTGAACTAACTAAAACAAAGAATGGAGTAAATGGCATGTTCAAGCTGAGTGTCGCTGTTCCCAACTCATTAATAGTTCAAGAGTAATATACAAAATAAAGTCTATTGTACAAATATGCCAAAAGCATTCCGTTTATTGGAAATAGTCTTTTGGTAGTCGTATCAGAAATCCTACAAGCAACAATATTGGGAGCTGACCTTTATATATAGTCACAGCGCCGACAAGCGTGTCATTGGAATCCATAAACCATAATAAGTACAAGTGTCATCTCTTTTATACACGTGACACGATGACGGATACACGAAAATCATAATTTCGAATTCTTTGAAACGAGCTCTTGTACGCAGTCGAGGAAGATAGAATATAATCTTTTTGAACAAATTACTGCGAATTTAATAGCCAGAAGCCTTTATTTCAGAAAATTTTGCGTGTGCGTTGTCAGAGATCGCGTTATGTTTATGAATTACTCAGAGAACTCCTCAAGATACGAATTAAAATCAATTGGGGGTCTAAACAAGCTCTCATGTTTGTGGAGGTTTCATGACACCACTACAACATTCAAACCGAAAGAACGGTTTGTTTATAGATTTATTTATACAAATTCGAAGTTTTTCTTTAAAAGTATGCTCACCCATAATGAATGGTCTCGTACGCTCATCCAGATTCAGAATAATTCATATTTCAGAAGCGGGCTTTTTTTCCGAATGGACTTCTATCGATGCAACAACAGCACTTTTAGAATCCTTGTTCATTTATGCCAGCGGTTTTTCTTTGCCTATAATATATTTTTATTGCCATTGGGTTTATGCCTTTTCCAACGTAACGATGACAAATAATTAAACATATTTGGACATTGCAGCTGATGTATTAATTCTCTCTTTTTTTTTTTTGCTGGTGGAAGTCGGATTGGAAAATTCCGATTAACAGACTTTTAGCGATTTTCCTTAAGAAGTATGGGAACAAGAGATCAACAGCATACTGGAGAATGTTATATCGACAGACAAAGTATCTCCATGTGATTGTGACTATTAAATACATCAGATACAGCGAATTTCATTCAACATCTATCCTGGGAACAACACTGCGTTAAATAACTACACGACGTTACGTTAACGTCTCTTATTGGTGTAGCAGATCTCCACTCACATCACTAGGCGCAATCACGTATTCAAGATTATTTAACTTACAATGATTTACATAATACGTTTTTAATTGGTCCATTTTAGCCAGTTTCTACAAAGATAATTCACAATTAATGGCAGGTGCATTCAATAAATAGCCTGGGTCTATTAAAGGCTTAATCGCATCTATTCGCACAGTGATGATGATATACGGTTCATCGCCAGGCCTAGCGAAGCGTAAACAATACAATAACAAATAAAGCGGAGAGATGCGTCTCTACATCTATGGGGGTAAACATGAAATTCTTATGTTCATGACATTGTCTCATCGGCACTAATCGAACCGGGCTTAGTCTCTTCCTCCTCAGACTCTTCGGGAATGAGTAATCCTATCAACTCGGCAAACAGCTCTCCACTCCTCGGATACGCCATTGGATTCTTAATGATGCATTTCCATCCATCAGTTTTCTTCACTCTCGGAAAGTGCTTTACTAGAAATTTAAAAACTTCTTCCTTCAAATCCTGCCATTTCCACGCAGTGTCAAATAGAAATTCTGCTACATTCTCTTCATTTATATCTCTACACATTACCGCCTTTGCTCTCTGACGTAATTCTGAAATTAGGTATTTATCGGCAATAGCAAACAGTTCAAGAGGCATTCGATGTGTTTCCTCGTTCTTATTGAGTGTCACTTTGTCAGTATACAGAAATCGTAGCATTTCAAGAAAGGTCTCGGGATGAAAATCGGGTACATCAATCGTATATTTCATTGATCTCTTTACATCGGATGACTCGCCACCCATTTCATCTGAACTGTTGGCTTTGGCACTGTATTCAGCCCACTTGTCCTGGAATATCTTTTCAAAGTAGGCAGATCGACGCGATAGAAGGGATGAGCTGGCATATATGAGAGTACCTTGGACGTTGAAAGTTACATCGACAGTCTCTTTTTTATTCAACTGTTGTTCCCATGCTTCGGACAAATCGGCTGGAAATGTCTTTCCGGGTAGACGTTCCATGAATGGAGAGATCTTGAACTCTGCAGATGAGAAATCTACGCCGAGAGTTATTACGTCTGGAAGCATAGAACTTTTATAGAATCGAGAAAAGCCTAAATTAATCGTGGGGTAAGGAGGTTAGTGAAACGTGAGATTAATACGAGCGCGTGAAAAAAAAAAAAAAAAAACGCGAATGCGAAAAATATTAAGGGAGGCGTAAGACAAGTGAGAAGATTTCTTGATGGAATAATTACAATATAATACCGATCACAGTCGTCATTGAGTGTGTAAAGTGTTGCTATTCTATTTTATCTATTGTTTGCGTCACTATAGTTACCTCGATTGCGATGGTAGAATGAAAACGTGTCATTGTGAACGGTTGATTTTATGATGCATCTATGTTTCTCAAACCGAAAAAAAAAGGAGGTATTGTTCAATGTCAGCAAACTTTGCTACCGCATCACATTATAACGTAAATAGTACATACGGCCCTCTGAGTATTCGCACTATCAACTCTCGTTACAAGGATGTCTCTGTGCCTAGTTACATTTTGTGACGTGACCACGATAAGAATGCGTCTCCATAGGTATTGTTTAAACGAGCCACTCGAGACAGTTTACTATTATAACGAGAGTTGACTGCGTCCGTAAATTCTAAAGAACGTCTCTGTCGTTCTGATAACTAGTATTGAATATCCTTAAATCGTGTCTCTCAGTCACCACTTCACGCCACAATCCCATATTACTTACGAGTTATTTCCACTAGTCAGTCTCATTCCTTGTGATTGTGCGCTGTTGCCTTTGCTCGGATCTCTAAGATATATGGTTGCAGGTAAGACACCCTGTCTGATTCCGGGGCTCGTGGCGTGTATCTCTCCGGTATTAAATATTGATCTCAAGTACACTGAACAGAATTCGGGATATTCTGGATTCGAAGGAATAAATTTCAGTTGCCAGAATACGTTCGACGAGGTTGCGAATGGAGGCGAGTAGACAGCTTTAGAAAGATTCCCAACGTTGCTAAAAGTGAATTCGAATGTTGCTTTTGTTTGTATATCTTCCATTTGAATGTGAATAGCAATGGTATTAAAAGGATGCTGGATAATCGGTAGATGTGGGGTCGGGGGAGAATGCGGCCTGGGAATTTTGATGTCGAAGTTATATATTTTTCAAACTGAACATCACACAAACACGTTTTATTGATGACTTAGCTGTTATTGTTCAATATTTATATTACGTCAGCTTTTGCAACATAGTAACAGGACAATCTAACAATGGCGGCTGTTAATGGGAGGCTTGCTCACAAAGTGGCTTACAGCATAAATAACGATCATGTGCTAATTTATTATGTTTACCATTGTCTTCTATTGTCTAAACTAACCAATCATTAGTCATCATCATTGTAAACGCTTGCAGCGGGAGATCAGTAAACATATTGGAATAAAAGCCGATATCATCCTGTATCAGTTGTTGCTTCATTCTTTGTCGATACCCAACACTTTCCATATAAGATAAGGAATATAATATTGTTCTTTGTTTTCATAAGTCTGTCTAACTTGGTCTGCAGATAGGAAATGTTTTATACCTTTAACATGGGACATCTCGTAACAAAACCACATGGAATTGCAGAAGGGATCAAGATTGTCGTGCTACAACGATAAAATAGTTGTCAATCCCGACTACAAATAATTTCTTTCTGTCTGAATCGGATCCAGCATACGATGTAATTTCCTGCCGAATTCTATGATCATTACGTTTAGACTTTAAAACCCTGCTTCCAAGTTATAAATACACGCCACCGGTTTGATATTGTAACAATTAAAATTCTCATGTCTGATTTACTATTCGATATTTGGTTGTGAAATGTCAACTCATACGGACGTTAATCATCAATGGTGAAATATACCGTACTGCCAACTGACCTCCTATTTTCCCCTTCAGCGCAGCACACTTGCTAGTAAGAGTGTTTGTGTCAGCAGAGACTTATTATTCATGGACATTTGTTTCCTGTTCCTGTCTAAAAATGGGAACAAGAGTGAATTAGTGAAACTGACAGATTATTCTTTGGGATACAAAGTGGTCTTTTTCATATGAAATAGAATCGGTCTCCATTATTGAAAATGTGTAGACATTTACTACGATGATCGGCAAGGATTTTAGGGACCTTTCTCGCAAATCTAACCGCTACCCATGTACTATACGTATTTGCATATTTTGCGGCGCTGAAAATCTCATTATTGGCATGTGGATTACCATATTAAGTATTTAATCAAGCACTCCTATAGTTAAGGGGGGAAGTGTTTACTTTCGGAACTATAATTCTGAGATATAAAAACGATTGCGTATTAAGTTTGCATAATAATAACGAAATTATGCACGCTATTCGAAGTTAAACTTTGTGACGATATTGCATCAGTAACTGTATATCTATTGGCTTCCGCACAATATGGGATGCTTATACATCTAAATATATATATGTCTATGACAATAAATTCCGAAAGCAATTATCGATTATACTGTTGTATTGCGTGCCTCTTTGCATTAGGGGTACCTGCATTCATGTATTGGTTTATTTAGGATTATGCTAGTGGATAATATAATGTACTATGACGTAGAGACGAGGGCGCTGATTTAAAATCTGGGATTGTATATAAATGGGTCCGTATTATTTCATCGACAATCGTTTCACCGACTGTACCAAAAAAGGATCGCTTCGAAATAACGTTGGTGAATATTTGTCGGTGAAATGATTGCTTCCCTATATAAATATAGTGAAATCGCAACATAGTAATTTTGACTATAGACAGAGTAAATTCCTTATGTTCACTAAGAAACTGGTGTAGGCACAGGTGTGACTATAGACAGTAGTTGACTGTAACTGTTGTTATCTTTCTCTCCCTTTGGTTATTCAGCTTTCTCTTTACATCACATGATAATCCAATATTAATATTAACTTTCGACTTGTTAGGGCTAAACAATCGTCTTAAAAACTGTTCTGAACTAGAACGTTTTCGTGTTACAAATAGTTGAACCACAGTTAATGGTAGAATATTCAACCAAACTTGTGGAAAAGGTGGATGTCATTATTAGTCATCTTTCTACGAACAGTATCTAACATATTAAATATTATCTAGAGTCCTTCCCTCTCAGATTTTATGCGGTGGTGGATTTATTTGCTACGTATGGTTTTGCCCAAAGGTTTCAGATAAATATTCCTATTAGTGAAGTATTTTGGGACAAAAATTCACGTTGTCTGTTCCACTTTCGAGAAATGTGTGAATTATTTGAAGTCCGTGATGGGATCACTTGGCACCAGCATACAGACTAGTCTTCATGTATCTCACCGAAATGACCCAAACGTTTAACTGGAACCGATTGGATAGGCATGAATTCTAACGAAGATTGGATCCTTACCCAACGATTGCGGACAAGATCATTTGTCTAAAAAGCCGTGAAAACTTAAGATAAATGAGTATATGATGTTAGAACTAAATTGCTTAATAACGCGTAGCCTTATCCAACCAATATAGGAAATAATATTTGCTTGAGCATAAATGAAATTCGGTTATTTGGAACAACAAGTAAGATGATTTTTTGATTCTTTCTCCGATTCTTTTGTTGAGGAACTTTTAATCGTGAAATATAAGGCTTTTGGGGTTGGAGGAAATTTTGAATTTGTTCTTGTTTTAATTGTAAACATTTACGAAATTTTTTCCTTTTAAGATCAAGTTATTTTTTAAAAATCGGTTCGGGAGCAAAACACAAAGCTCATCATCACTAATTTCCTGAGGAGAAAATAACTGTAGTGTGAGGGTTAATAATTTCTCTGATGAATCGAGATCTCAAGATAACCTCAGTTACAGTATATCCCTGCTTGGCGCTGGACAGACTACTAGAATGACTACAAATCAGCTAATCGTGTAAAGTAATGACTAATACATTATAATTAGAGGAGCTCGCCGGGACAAGCGAGTATATAACTAATCCGTTTCGACGTTTGATCTGGTAATCGTATCACATTCTCTTTGCCGTTCGTTACTATGTTGTGGCATTAGTCATGTGAAGATAGTCCAAATGCTGTCAAATGCAGGAAAACGCACTCCTACAGAGACGCGATAAAAAGTTGTACTTTTCATGGCTATTACTTTGGACTATTATAGGTTATTACAATACATATTTTACTTAACGTTAAGTCACATATTAGTATATTAACATTCAATGAATTTCGATTCCCAAATTCTGAAATTGCGTTGTCCAGATAGAAAATGCGGTCAGAATCTACAATGTGTTACGAAAAAGAACTATTAATTGTTGTGCTACAAGGGTTAGGGCAATGAATGAGCTTTATTTAATAGCCTATGAACAGAGGTAATTTTAATAGAACAGTTTATATTTCCCATAATTAGCTCACGTTTTAAATTTAATTCTTCAACTATAAAGCGCTCTCTAAATTCTCACTATATATTGTTTTGGCCAATTGTCTAGGGTTTAAGGCTGGACTATTGACATGCCACCAATGTGTATTAATCGAGATATTTTGTAACCGAATCTGACAGCAAAAGCTAGGTTGAACAAAGCAAAGGTTTGAATTTGTTTGACAGTTTAACAATAATCATAATTGTTTACATCAAATTATAAAAAACCCCGCAAAACAAAATAATTTAGATGGCATAAATATCCGCGTTCGAAGAGTTCTTCTATTTTTTTTCGTGACACACTGTAGTTATGTCACAATGACAAAGTCAATTTTTGTTAGCATTGTAGTTCAAAACACGTGCTTGCTCAATCACATGTAAGTTGTGTTGGAATGCCTTCCTTTAGAACACAATTGTGTAAGTCTTGTTTGTTAATTTGACTTTACTAATAATTCTCTTAGATCTTGATTATCTAGTTTATCTTCACAAACAGAGTATGACTATAACTATATTGTTCGAGCTAGCTCATACAAGTTTATTCGATGCAATCTAGGCATTTTCAAACTCGTTGGCGAACGTATTTCAACTATTAAGTGTGGGCATGAGAATGGAGGAAGTTAAAAAATGGTACAACAGCGCATAATACCTATTTTTACAATCCTTCGGTTTCACTCGCGAAGTGATTCTGAAGCCATACCGGACTAAAAAGTGCGTTGTTTGGCTTGCTATTATACTTACTGACTGTCGAAAATCCTTAAAGCCACCATTACAATCAAAATATAAAGCAACAAGTTGATCCAAGAATAAACCATCAGCATTAGGATTAAAAATAACCTCCGTTATAGTGACCGATCCCATAACTATACTGAGGCCTAACACACGAAGATAATTCCTACACAATCCTATCACATCGCACGATCGTCTACATTTACAATGCTAATATTATATCGTTCGATACAGCTATCATAAATGGAGCAATATGAAGATAAACATGTACAGTAGAGTGGTGGATTTGAGCTACGAATCCCAAATACGGAGATAATGAAACTATGAGTAGCTGGAGGTTCCCGAGCTGGATGCATTGCTGAATGGCAAACTTGATATTTTTCATCATCATCATCATCCTTACGAGACGATCATTAAAGACAAAGACATTGACTTCTATCATGCATACTTGAGCTGGCTTGGTCACGCAAGATGTAGTATCAAATCGAATTGTCGGGAGGAAAATTTCGGCCGTCACGACGACGCCTTCATCGAACACTAGGAAAATTGAAGGGCAGTATTTAAGGCCAAGAAGGGGGAAACATCGACTCTCGAAGCAAAAGCTTGGTCAGCTTTGCAACAGATAGAATACCGTCGTGCTATTGTTTCTAAAGAGATGGATCATCTAGTGAAAGTACGGATTGCTTTCCAAGGGAATCTGGTATCTGTAAGAGAAAGTTTACGAGAAAAAGGACGAAAATCAGCCAATAAAGATTTTCTGTCAAGTTAGGGCGGTGCGTCAAAAACACGCACCGTTTAATTATTTATTATTTTCTCATTTCCTTCTTTTTTTTTTTTTTTTTTTTGCGCTTAGCCTTATCATTATAATGTCATCAAATCTAATCGCGAAACAGTCTCTTTCGACCCCCAAATGCCGCCGAGAT